TCTTGGAAATGACGCCAAGTTCTGAGAATCAATGAAATTCTTGGAAATTTCCAAATGCTCGAACGAAAGAAATTTTGTCCAAAAATTCGACTTTGTATTAGGAGAACATGATACGATAGGAGGTCGATCGAAAAATTTTTCCGAGAAATGACGTCAAATTCTTTGAATCTGTAAAATTCTTAGAAATGACGTCAAATTCTGAGAATTTCTGAAATTCTTAGAAATTTCCAAATGTTTGAACGAAAGAAACTCTTGCCAAATATTCGACTTTGTATTAGGAGAACATAAGTTGGTAGGAGGTTGTTCGAGAAATTTTTCCAAGAATTTTAGGAATTCCTTGGAGATGACATTAAATTCTTTGAATTTTTAAAACTTTTATAAGTCACATCAAGCTCTCGTCATTTTTTTGAAACTATGAATTAAATGAACCAAATTTTTATCCAATTTTTTGAATTTATAACACGAGATTATGATTTAAAAATAACTTTTACATATTTATCATTTTTTTATCGTTTTCGTTGCTTATTTTTTCAAAACTACTTAAATCATATCACAGAAATGATTCCAATATTAAAAATATCGAATAAATAATATCCAATTTTAAAACATTCCCACAAGAGGATTCCTCATTAACAAGAAAGATTAATTTCCTCGACTCATTAATCGAGCACATTACTATCGTATTCTCCACGATACTTCTCTTCCTCTTAACGAGAAACTGCTTAAATTCTACCCTTCTACCCTACCCCAACCAGATGGCACAGGGGATAAAACTCGACCGATATGCAAATCGAATGTTAAGCAACGATCCCTCTCCAAGTTAATTTTCCTTTTTCGAGGTGTATACATCGAGGTTTGCCGATTAAAACCAAGAGGAGGCCACTTGTCGATGCGAAAAGTGCATCGGCACGGAACGTGCGGATGCGTACGAATGCAAGAGGAACCAACCCTTCTCGTGGAGAGCGCTGGTGGAGGAGGGATGCAAGGAGGCCGATGTACCCCCGATGGAAAACGTAGACCACTTAGCAGACTGGCTATGGGCCAGCTGCAATCCTTGCAGAGCCAAGAACGAGCTTCCTGCATTTTAAACGCACCTCGCCATTAATAGATTATGGAGGACGTATTCGTCTTCTCAGTCCGCTGCTGACTCGTGTTTTGTTCCAACCAGTGCGATTCGAAATATCGAGAAGAGATTTGTCAAAGCTGAAGAGAACGATTTTTGATAATTATTTATCATCACGTTAGGAAAGGGTGAATTAGCCTAATATTCCTTCAACTTGTTAATCATTAAAAATATAATGATTTCCAAGAATATCTCAGTGTTGGCTAGGATTTAGATTAGATTCCTTGATATTTGTCATTCCTTAAAATTATTATAATTAAAAATAGAATACTTTCCAAGGGAATTATCTTAATAAGGAATAGGGATAGGGATTATTTGGAATAAAGGTTAGGTTAAGAATTAATGAAACAACGTGATAATACGTAAAAATAATTTATTGATATATCTCTTTTTTACAATAAAAATAACAGAAATAACATAAATATTCTTATTAACATTTTTTTTTCTCGTGAAAATAATCGATAATTCTTTGAAAAATAAATAAGAGTTAAAAAATCTTTCAAAACTTTTATTTATCTATAAATATACATACATTTATTTTACATTAATATCCTTGACTATAAATTTTTATTTTTCGCTTCTTGAATCTACTTCTCCGGTTGCCATGACGCTGTATGGTTTATTTATGCACTCGTAGCCCCGTAGTAGTGGAGGATATAGTTAATGCAATATTAAAGGGCGGGAATAACGTGGCCGTTATTCGCATCGAGAGGAGCGGTTAGTTTTTCCCACTTCCAAGAGCCCTATAAATTTTCGATGAACGGCCTCGCAACACATGCTTAATGTCCGTTAAAAAATGACATACCGCCTCACCTGTTGCGCACCGGAATAGGAACCGTCCACCATTTTACTTAATCCTACGGCTAAAGAGCTCGAGGGAAGACCTTCGTGTTCGGGAACGCGGCCCATTTAATAATATTCCACGGCAATCTGCGGCGCAATGTATCACGGGCTTTGTCCTTCGCGATCTGATTAGCGGGATAAACGTCTCCCTATGTTCCTGGTCGTTCTAGGTGGCGCAGTTTATCATGGTGGTGCTGCGATAAAAGAAAAGGAAAAGAAAAAGATAATTTGACGATTTATTTATTTTTTTTTTTTTTCCGTTTTATATCAATTAAAAAAGGAATTGGAGAGAGGAAGGATTATGATGTAAAGGGAGGAGGAGGAGGAGGAAGAGTGGAATTTTATTGTTGTTTTTAAGAGGTATTGTTTGAAGAGCTTCCTTATCGTGATAAATTTAATCATGATATGTGATACAACCCGCGCGTATCGTTAGTTAATTGATAGTATTATTTCAATTTTCCTGCCGTGTATTAAACAATTGTATTTGTACTATATTAATCGAATGTTACTCGTGCTTGTATAAATTATACTCGTTCATTAGTATAATAGCCCAAATTTCCATTGCATCACGCATGGGAAAATTAATCGTCATGTTCGTAAAGCGATTATGGCATTATTAATTATATCATTGGCAAGGAAGCTCGCGCATCTTTTCACAATATTTAAATATCACCTTATTTACGAGATATTCTTCTCCAGTGAACGTAAAATAAAAAGTGAAAAATCTTTTCTCAATTTGCGAGAATAAATTGTTCCAATTAATTATGCGATCTAGGAGAAGCTTAAATGGAAAAGAGAAAATGAGAAAATGAAAAATAACTCGCAAAAAGATAATATTTTTTGAACATATATATCCTTCTGTTCAAAAAAAAAAATATGTCCAAAACGTGAAAAAAAAGAGTCCAAGATCGATCCAATCTACGACGACGCAGGTTCTGATTCTTCGTGTGAGCAGCTTTTATTAAAACAGACGTTCGACGTTGAATCTTCCCGTTGAATAAACTTAAGCCGCGCCTATTACGCGACAATCGTGCGCCACCTGGTCCCGATCGGACCTCCGCTCGTTTTTTCAGCTCGAGACGGAGCCTCGAAGGGTGAAAAAGGAAAAAAAAAAAAAAGAGAGGAAGGAAAGGGAAGGAAGGG